TAAAGTACAAACGCAACTTTGAATTCTTGTAGCATAGAAATATTGTTACTTTTTAGGAACTATTTGACAGGATGCCGAGAATATGGAAAGCTATTTCACACAATATCGACCAAATTTTTCTGTTGGAAAAGTCGATACAATGAAACAAGAAAATTTGGCCATACATGTATTCAAACAGTTGAAGTTTTAAAGCGTGCAGCACGATGTTTAAAGCACAAAAAATTGTTTTTTTAAATTTTGAAGAGGAAATGAAATTTCAAAATTCATTGAATTATATTTTCGACTGCTAAATTCACGTTAAAAAAGATATTGTTGTGGTTATATAAAATAAAAACGTTTTAGTAAGTTTGAATCTTATGCAACTTTTGGGTTAATAGACATATCTGAAAACTGGCTGTTAGCGGAGTGGCTGCTAGCGAGTGGCTGCTAGCTTGAGTCTAGCCTATATGCCATGTTCTTGACCAGGGACAGACACATATATATTGAGGCGGGCTTAAACATATTTGTGAGCACTCAAACCTCCCTTAACATGGTGCCATGGTGTAGCAATACAACATTTTTTTTGGCAGAGAATGATAATTCATTCATATTTCATTTTATCTGAAAGTTGAAAGAGAATTCATTCACTTAATGGTTCTAAATATTCAATGCGGAAAAAATCTCCTGCCATTACCTCCTTCCTTCCCTCCACCCACAACCCATCCCCGAAATGTTCATCACTTATATGCAAATGCTGACTAATGTTGTATGGTTTAAACATTTGGTTGAGGCAATCTAAAGTCTGAGAACAGAATCGACAGCTTTAGCTTTTTTTCATTTATAAAAGGGCATAACTCAAGAACGGTAACAGTGACGCTACCCAATTTATAACTTGATCTGTGTTTCGTGGTGATAAGCATTTCGTGTAAGTTTTAAAACGTTTGGTTAAGGCATACTAAAGTTAGAGAACGGCAACCAATTATTGGGACTTTCTGGACGGACGGGAGAGACGGGTCGGACGGACATGGGTAACATTTAACGCTACGTTAGGGCAGAACAACAGGTCAGTAAAACAGTGACATGCCTTTCCGAAAGTTACAATATTTGCCAGCTTTTGTATATATGCCGTATTCATATTGTATACTTCAGGTATGTTAAAGATGTAATAGGACTGTGTTCAAGCCTTATATTGTGTATACATCGTAAATGGTGTCAAGCGAATTGTATTTTTATCAAATGCATAATAAGATATTTGAACCTAATACTTTATTTTTCTTTAAAAAGACGGCAAATAAATATTTTGAAATTAGCAAGTTGCCATACAGTTGAAAACAAGTTGCCATACAGTAAATTTGTCAACATGAGCAAGTTGCCGTACCCTAGACTTTATTTTTTATGGTCTATATTCTTTAAAAACGTTCATTTTGACAACAAATTTCAGTACATATGATGCCACACTATAATAATCTAAAAAAGTGTCTGGAAAAATAATGAAAAACAGTTGAATATCTTGCCAATGGGGCGACAGAGGACGATCGACCTCGAAATTTTCAAGTACTAAGTGGCAAGTTCTTGAGTATAACACAAAATCTTGTCTTAATTTTGTACTTATCGGCCTAATAATTTAAAGAATTATATATCAGAAAATCATTTCTTAAGCGGTACCCTCGTCAAATCAGTAGAAATGCTTTAAATTGAAAGAATTCTTACCTTGTTAACTTTTTTTCCATTTCTCTCCGCTTCGTTAGTACCCAATTTCCGGTGGCGATGATACACAGTGATTACTAGTAGTTATTACGGTGAGGTTGAATTCCCTGTCATTTATTCATCATCCACGCACGAACTTGTCTCAGAAAAAATATATTTATAGAAAAACTAATCGAAGAATTCAAATAGAGAAAAATATTCAACGAGTGACCGAACAACACATTAATTCACGAATGCGCGTAGCGCATGAGTTAATTATCAGTGTTGTTCGGTCACGAGTTGAATATTTTTCGATATTTGAATTCTTTGATTAGTTATTCTTTTTATTACATTGGCAAATGACTTTTTTTTAATGAAATTAATGTAGAAAATGTAAGGAACTATATCTTTTTTCTACGCATTCACAATTTGTTTTGATCCGACGTTATCGACGTCTTGACAACGCCTATTGTTGTATGACGCCAGAGAGTGAAATAACCACGTTTATTTCACATGTGAAATTATCGGTTTTTATTTGACTTGGAAATCAATATAATTCATTGCTACCAATGTAATAACTCTGTATATTAACCTCACTTGATATTATTTGTTGCTTCTCCTCAAAGCATGCAGCATTTTCAAATTGGAGGAAATACAAAGACTGGTCGGCCGGTAGTCGGACTAATGTGTCCAAGTAGGGTGACATGTCTTCCTGCAGACTGTTTGTTACATGTACCTAATGAACTAATACTTTAAAAAAAGTCCGTCTCAGCGTGTCGGTCTAGAACAAAGCAGGGTTTATATTCACATCACATTATCATGTTGTCGTCCTGAACATGTGTTTAATTTGCCACTTGACCTTAAACAGCCCACCATCACCAATTCGTTAATTTGTAATACTTAAATGTTTCTATAACGCTTTTCTGCTTTGAAATTCTGCACAGTTTGCTTTTGGCACTGTACAAACGCGTTTTCGTAAACTTATTGTTTGAAATCATTTATGAAATTCCCAATATTAAAATGTAGGACGGCAAGATTTCATATCAGAAGGTTTGAACAATCATTAAATACATTATGATATTGTTAATGTTATTCTAATTCTAATTGAGTTTTGCTATCTATCTTTCAGTTTTTAGAGTAAACACGGGCGGATTCAGCCATTTTCAAAAGGGGGGGTTCCAACCTAGGATAAAGGAGAGGGGGGTGGTCCATATGTACCCATTCAAAAGCATTGGTCGTCAAAAAAGGGGGGTTTCAATCCCCAAACCGCCCCTCTCTCTGGATCCGCCACTGGTGAATTGTTTTTTTTTTTCTGTACATTGTACTGATGTTTATTGTATGTTCTTTTATATACATTTTGTCAGTCCTCTAATTGACATTAAAAAGGGGGAGGGTTGATTTAGAAAAGAACTCATCCGCTAAAACCCGCCACATATCTATATGTTCTTTGCAAACTTAGTGTTGGTGGCCGTGTTGTCCCGCCCTGCGACGAAAGTCGCAGAATGCGATACATAAGAATTTTAATCTGGTGGCGGCGTAAACTATTCGTATAAAGTTTACTAATGTATTTCAAGGGATAGAAGACCTGGATCGTTCATACCTTGCATTAGACTTGCTACATGTCCCTTCCTTATTATTTGTTTTTAATTTTGCCCCTTTAACAATTTTACTGCTATAACTAGGAGATTACCATTATACTGACATCTGCAGAGGAAGGGACTTGTAAAGTTTGTCTGAGGCTTGACCAAACTGTTAATCTTAGAGTAATTAAGATTGACATTTATTGATAAGAATTTCAGATAACAGTAGGAAAGTGAAACTTGATATTCCAGGGTTGTGCAAATACTGTTTATTTATTTTCATTTTATAACTAACTAGAAAGATAAGGTCACTGAACTTATACATATGATCAAACATCACATCATTGTCAGAGTTTTTGGTGTTTCCAATGGCAGAATGTTCTACTCCAAAAAAGTTTTTTAGATTTATAAAATTTACTCCAACAACTAAAAAAACTCTTTGTGTAATTTGTGGAAACAGAATTGAAAAAAGTGATTACAGAAGAAAATTATTTCATGGCAGCATCAAATCTGAATACTGTATTCTTATTGAAAAATATCTGGAAATAAATATTACAGAAGAGACACATGCAGATACTGCTTGTAGAAAATGTGTTAGAGAATTGCAAAAAATTGACAGTGTTTTAACAACATTTAAATCATCATATCAGAATACTTTGGCAAAACTACGTGAAACACATGGACATAACTCAGTTTCATTTAAAAGACAATTTTCTGAGAACGGTAGTGCAACTGTTAATAGTAGGAAATCGTTGTTTCCTAGAGATGAGGAAATAGAAGACTCTGAATTCAATATCGACACTGAAACTGACACAGAACTGAAGGTATGTTTGTACAGTTCATTTTGATTGTAAAAACAGAGAAAATAATGAATCAATGTCCTTACATAATAAACTTATCATATGGCTAACTAACAGAAACGGGCAAAATATGTGTACACTCCCCTTTTGATTTATTGACTTTTTGATAATTTTGTTTTCCTCCAGTGGCAAATATTTCATGTGTTTCTGGATTAGAATATGATTTAAGCATAGTTATTTTCAGGTTGAATAAAAGATTTAAGGCATATTTCTTGAAAAGCGTATTTATAATAGCTGTTAATTATATCCTTAATTTATATGTTTAAAATACCCCTTCCCCCCACACACACACAAAATGAAAAGTTGATGCCAAAGTTGTTAACTAAGCCAATGGAAAGCGATCTTTGTGTGAACTACCAATATTAATGTTAAATCAAATAAAACAACAGAACTTTTTTGAAAAATAAAATTATCACATTTTTTCAAAATGTGAAAATTATTAATTGAATGTCAAATATTTAGACATGATATTCACCTTTTTAATAAAGACCTTCTTATTTGTAGGTTATAATATGCCGTGGATTGAAAAATGAAATACGGTGCATGCCTTCGAAGCACTTTCCAATTCTTGATGCCTTAACCTCTGGTGATATGCCTACAGTTGGTTCATTAATTTCAAAAATTCCAGATTTGCAAGATGTTTTCCAAGAAACAGTGTTTGATACCATCAAAGGTGAAATTAAGACTTTGTCACTAAGGGAGAATAACTCAATTTTACGTAACCATGACAAGATAAAGTCTCTTACATTTGCCAGAGTTATAGATGAATGGAGACAGAAAGCTCCTACTTTTTTAAAATCACTTGAAGCATCGGTATCAAACCCAGCACATCAGTTTAATAAGTATAAAAAGGGCGACGCTTTAATACCAGGCATAGTGACTGTTGGCTGTAAACTTCTGACCCTGTACAGCAAAGATTTAAATGCTTTTCAACATTTTAATAGCTATATTTTGTGGAAAGGTGGTTGCAAGAAATCTGCATTTTCTCGACTGAATGCCACATATGACTGCTTAAGCTACCAATCAACGCTAAGTTTGGCAGACAAGTTAGGGAATGACTGGGACAAGGATCTTGTTGCTATGCAAGAACTAGTAACAACTGAAACGTCACATGAATTGGTGTTACTTCAGAACATACAGATGATCAAAGAGTCCATTGATTTGGTGAATGGAGATGCCGATACAATGGTACAACGAATTCTTGAACTTTCTAACGCGGAAAATGACTTGCATCAGTACAGAGATTTAATGCACCCTGGCTTTTACTTTGTAGGAGATAATGTTGATATGCGTACAAAAGTCAGGAATATGACAATCTATAATCAACACAAAGACCATCATATGTACCAAATATGTGCCTATGAAAACAGAATTTCAGGGAACCATCTAGACAACACCGTTGCCAAAGGAGATGCAAATACAGTGCCCTTTACTACTTTCATACCGAGTCAGTCAGAATTGGACAGTATAGCTAGTGACTTCACTTTCCTAGTAGCGAAAATATGGAGTCAGCATATTCCACATTTCAACATATTTGCACCAGTACTTCCTGAGTATATCGAACATCAGTACATGAAAGAAATGAAACAAAAAACAACAAGAGTAAGTTGATAGTTTATGTGTTATTAACAAATTAATGAAAATTTTATTGATTGTTGTTAAATATAGTCAGTGGCAAATAATCCATGCATATTACAAATAAGGACGAGGATGGAACATAAAAATTTAAATAAATTTGATCAATCTTACACGTTGGTTGACAAAGGTTTAAAAATGGTTACTTTCAAATCCTGCATGTTAATTAAGTCCTCAAAAGACACTGTTTGTTAAGGTGTCCCACATTTTTTCTCTTGGTATTTAGCAAAAGACCTATTTATACAACATATTTTAATAAAATCACCATAACTTTAAGTTTTGTTGATATTTATGTTAAAAATCAAGCGACAGTAAATATTTAAGTTTTTTCGAAAAGATTATAACCCGTAAACATAATAACATGCTTAACTGTGCTCATTGTTGAAGGCCGTACGGTGATTTATAAATTATAGTTGTTAATTTCTGTGTCACTGTGTCATTTGGTCTCTTGTGGAGAGTTGTCTCATTGGCAATCATACCACATCTTCTTTTTTATATTAAAAAGTATTTATACAAAAGTACAAAAACATATATATTTTTACTATATACGCATATATGAATTATAGTTGATTGCGTTTAATGTCATGTACCTCATTTTGCTTTTAATAGATAAATATGGGAGTTTTAATGAAAAGTGAGCAATACAACGAAGATATGACAGACATTTGTGAATTTATGCACAAGTATGTACCTGGACACAATGAAACAGATGACTGGACAAAACAGCCAGAAAAAGTCTTGAGTGGAGGTGACTATTTAACTTTTGAGAGACACAAACAGGCACAGTCATCCAAACGAAATGGTCGAACTCCAACAAAAAGATTAGAGGGACTGGTGCCTAAAATGGAAGAATTTCACAACCAGGGAGAGTTGCTAAAGGTAATGTCTTTCTCCAAGGGCAATCAGTATACTGGAAGTTAACAGTAAACATATAAATTAGTAAGAAAGAAATAAAAGAAAGGGAATTGTAGCAAGTCTAACCTTGCATACAAAAGTCTTATGTTACGAAGTTTCCGTCTGTCATATGTCCATTGTCCTTGACTTCATTTTCATGGTTCAGCGACTGCTTAAACTGAGAAGTTTTTTTGTCATACGAATTTCTCACTTATCATGATTACTTTATTTGGTATATGGGATTCTATCAAGGCCTGCATGTCAATCAGACAGGGTTCACTTGACCTCAACCTCATTTCATGGGTCAGTGATCAAGGTTAAGTTTTCGTGGTCAAGTCCGTATCCCAGATACTAGTACTATAAGCAGTACTATAATCAGTAGTTCAACTATATTTGGTGTATGGAATGTATGATTGATTATGTAAAAGTCTATTTTTCTGGTTCATCAATTACAAATAAGTCTGAGTTCAAGGGTTCTTTATGAATTCATCAATTGTACATCACATTCATTCATCTTACAATTACATACACTAACCCTGGAATAACAAATTAACAATGATTAAGGTAATGAAGTAAACACAATACAATTCAGTTTAATAAAGTACTAAACATTACACTCTTAATACTAATTAAGTTTACATGTTTTTGTATATAATAGTCAAAACATCCTACATCTTGACCCTTAAATTTTGTTTTTCTTTCTCAACACTCAGATTGGTGTGAACTGGCCAGTCCCTTATAAATTTGAAAATTCTAATACAATATACATTTTTTTTTTTTTTTTTTTTTTTATTCCTTCTCAACCGTAGTGGTGGTTGAGATGTTAATTTATACTCTATCGATCAGAATGAATAAATCCTATCATCTTTTATTCTATACAAACGGTATGCGGTTTGAAAATATCAAAATGTAAATTTGCAAACAATAAACATCAACTTCACACAAATTATCATTACGGATAATTTGAGCTTCTTATATAACGTCTTTAAATATAATATAAATGAATCATCATTTATCATCAATATAAATACACATTTTTAACTTCATGTGATTCTAGCTTGAATGTTTATAATCAGGGGAGATAATCCCAGTGTAATATTTCCAAAGTGACAATGAAATATTTGTCATAGTCAAGTTATACAGGTAAATATAAATAAAATACAATTGCAATCAATATACACAGTTAAGTAAACTCACCAATTTGTGGAACTGAGTTTGTACAATATATAACACCAACAGCTAGCCTACACTATTTAACTTCTATCCTAGTGTCCTTATACAGATCAATATATCATGGATCTATACTGGTCAATATATAATATGATAACCTGAAATCAATAATACAATTCTAAGTACAAGATTCTATTTTATTTAAAAACAAATAAATCTTTACAAAAAGGTACTATCATTTATAAAAAAATCGTAAGGGTTCCGCGGAACCCAGTGTCTCGCCTACTTTTGGTGTTAATCGCAGGCTCAACAAAAATGAGGAAAAAAATTAATAAAAATATACCTCTCTATACTATCTTTTGATTGTAAGTAGCTTCTGTCCAAGTTTGGTAAAAATCCAGGATAATTTATGAATCTAATAAATGTTTTAAAAACTTAAACTGCAGAATGTATGTAATGTTGACTGGAAGAAAAACTAAGTCCATTTATAAGTAAAATACAGAAAAAATGGAACAAAATTTTATCAAAATTTCCTTCTAGATACTAGCTTTTGATCATAAACAAGCTTCTGTCCAAGTGTGGTACAAATCCAGGATAGTTTAAGAAAGTTGTTAAAATTTTAAAAACTTTAACCACAGAGTGAATGTAATGTTTCCTGGCAGAAAAACTAAGTCCATTTATAAGTAAAATACGGAAAATATGGATTTTTTTTTTACAAAATTTACTTCTGGATACTATCTTATGATCATAAACAAGCTTCTGTCCAAGTTTGGTAGAAATCCAGGATAGTTTAAGAAAGTTGTTAAAATTTTAAAAACTTTAACCACAGAGTGAATGTAATGTTTCCTGGCAGAAAAACTAAGTCCACTTATAAGTAAAATACGGAAAAAATGGAATTTTTTTTTTACAAAATTTACTTTTAAATATAATCTTATGATCATAAACAAGCTACTGTCCAAGTTTGGTAGAAATCCAGGATAGTTTAAGAAAGTTATTAAAATTTCAAAAACTTTAACCACAGAGTGAATATTTGTGGACGCCGCCGCCGACGACGACGACGACGACGACGACGCCGACGGAATGTAGGATCGCTATGGCTCGCTTTTTCGACAAAAGTCGAAGGCTCGACAAAAACATAATATCATCTGACTTGTTTACATTAATATGTCTACGTCATTATTGATAATACCGTACCATCACATAGGTCAAGGTCACTGTTAAAATAAATCAAACTCACCCTTACAGCAATACACAAAACTATCAAATCATATAATCATCTCTCAAACTCAAATCTCACTCTCACTTGGACATTGGGGAAACTTACTTTTACCTTGCATGTTATTAAAATATCATAATCAGGATTCATACTTCATCCATCTGTCAGAACAAAGGCTCTCAATGAAAGTAAATGTAACTTACCAAAATATGCTTTATTTGTGGTTCCTGACTGAATATAAATGTATCCAATATAACTGAATGATCCTTATATGAAAAGTAAATACAAAGACTGGATACTAAATAATTAAACTAATGAAACTTTTATAAACAAAGACCAAAATTGACCAGCCATTAAATTAAATTTCCCTCTGTCTAATTAATCACAAGACCTCCAATGACCAATAGAATAAGACCTAATCACAAGTAGATTGCAAATCAATCACCTTCTAATAAATAATACAATAAATCGTCTGCAAGAGATAGATTCATACACTCAATCACAGTCACGTCTCAGTCCTTACAGCTGAAAGGACGTGCTGGATCAGCTCCTGATTACCCGTTGGCTACAACATGTTACGCTGCCCAGATGGTTCAACGACAAACTAGCTTATGATGTTACCTTACAAGTAGACCCGCGTTAGCGACACTCTGAAACCCATTGTGGATGGGTGAGTGTCACATGCTGCCCAGACGTCCGAGGGCTATGTGTATTTAGCTTCGTGCAGGTTGCAGTCATCTACTACAGAGTCAATGATTCATCTACCAACAACACATCGTCGTGGTTAGTGGGCTGCCCAGCTGATCAACCTGGCCCTGAAAACAGCCGTTGTGGAGTTTCGACTGTAAGGAAACAACAAAATAGTAAACAAACCAAAAACAACTCAGTAAAACCAAGATGGCGACCTATCAAAATGGCGTCTTCCACCTGTTCCTGACCCACTGCAGAAAATATTTTAATGCTCACCAAACGCCTTCGGGCACCGAGCCGACCGTGCGAGGGATGTACATCCAGTCAAGGTCGTTAAACACTTCCAGTTAGTTGCAAGAGATATTCAAAATTAGTACATATAGTATAGTCAATGCAACCAGTATGAATGGCAGAAAATCCACTCTACCACAATTATACCTTGGCCATATTTTTATGGTTCAGTGGTCAATGTTAAGATTTTGTCTTTTAGTTCATTTCTCAGATAATAGGTCAAATACATTTGGTGTATAACATGATTGTAAGGTGTACATTCTGTATGTGTCTGTCCCAAGTCAGGAGCCTATATTTTAGTGGTTGTCGTTTGTTTATGTGTTACATATTTGTTTTTCGTTCATTATTTTGTACATAAATCAGGCCGTTAGTTTTCTCGTTTGAATTGTTTTGCATTTGTCATTTCGGGGCCTTTTATAGCTGACTATGCGGTATGGGTTTTGCTCATTGTTGAAGGCCCTACGGTGACCTATAGTTGTTAATTTCTATGTCATTTTGGTCTCTTGTGGAGGGTTGTCTCGTTGACAACCATACCACATCTTCTTATTTTTATAAGTCTGTCTGAAAAGATTCATCTGTCATTGACGTCGCTTGACATTGGTCAATGGTATGTTTTTATGGTTTAGTCTGTTTCGAAGATTATATAAGCAATCTGTTAACTATATAATATAAAATGAGGAAATGTGGTATGATTGCCAATGAGACAACGATCCACCAGAGTTCAAATAAAGTAGGTGTAAGCAAATACAGCAACTGTACGGCCTTTAATAATGAGAAAAAACCCATACCGTATAGACTGCTAAAAAAGGCCCCGACATGAAAAATGTGAAACAATTCAAACAAAAAATCTAACGCCCTAATTCATAAAAAAGCAATTTATGAAAAACAAATATGTGGGACATGAACCAACGACAACAACTGAACTACAGGTTCCTGACTTAGGACAGGCACATAAAGAATGTGGCGGGGTTAAAAACTCTCCCCCTTATCTGGGACTGTGCTGTAACAGCAACATGAAAAACAAACTGTAAAAAATCATTAGCAATCGGCTTAACCCAAAAGATCGGTACGAAGCAAAAAAAGCAAAAAAAAAAAAAAAAAAAACCAACTAACATCTTAAACAATAGAAGCAAAGCACCGAAATAAGAGTACTCGCAGTTACTGAAAGCTAGTTCACAGCCAATTACAACTAATAAATAAATCATGTTCTCCCAGACGGTGTTTTGAATGATTGTAATGTGTACATGTCTGCCTGGCAGAGTTTATCAGACCTTGTCTACATTTTCATGGTTCATTGGCCAATATTAAGTTTTCATGGTAAGGTCTGTTTCTCAGGTACTAAAAGCATTAGGTCAACCATATTTGAAGTATGAAATGATTGTATGGCGTACATGTCTCTCTGGCAGGTTCGTCTGACCGTGACCTCATGTTAATGGTTCAAAAGTCAGAATCAGTTTTCATAGCAAAGTTCATTTCTCATATACTATAAGCAAAAGGTAAACTTAATGTGGTGTATGGAATGATTGTATTACTAAGGAGTACATGTCTGTCTGGCAGAGTACATCTGCATTGACCTCATTTTCATATTTAGTGGTCAAAGTTTAGTTATCTAGACAAGGTCGGTTATTTCAGATACTATACGCTTAACCTCATGTTCATGGTTCATGGTTAAAAAAATCAGTTCAATGTTTGCATGGTTAAGTTCATTACTCAGATACTTATAGCCTCATTTACATTGATCATTGATAATGTTAATTTTATTCAATATTTGTTGTATAACCCTTTTCTCTAAGACTTTCAACATAAATTCAAGTAATTTTAGTTGTTTCTTAATGTGTCATTTTGTATTGTTCAGGATTTTTGTTAAATTAATCATCTGTAACCTTTCACAATGTGCCATACAGAGGTAATTTATAGTGTTGACGCTTTTTATCATTGCAGGCCGTATCCAAAGATTTCAATTTGAAATGACGTCACTTCTTTTTTTGTTTATTGGGTTACATGGTTTCTGTATCATTCTTGAATAAATAGAAAAGACAGGATACATGACGGAATACATTATGTATTTCTGATCAAATGCAAGTTATTTGACAATATTTGGAGATAGTGACTATAAGATAAAGGCTTCAAATGGAACTTTAAATATATATGCAGTTCATTAAGATGCACGATTTTGTCTAGCTCAAGAACTTTTTCTGACTCATATTTAGTGAGGATTTTGAAAGGGGAGACAACAAAGCAACGTTCAGAGTGGGAATTGTAAAACGTCTATGCGTTGACCATGTATGCATCTCCACTAACAGCCACTTCACTCCACTAAATCAACCTCTGAGGATTTACAGTTCCAAACAATTTTTATCGAAAACTGCATTAGAATTTCGACCACCAACATAATGCAGCATTAAATAATTTATTTTATATCCATTCGGCCAAATTATAAGCCTTTGAAAAACTTTTTTTTAATTAAAAAAATAACCATCAGAAATAGCAGTATAATTTATCACTAATAACAATGTATCTAAATTTCATTTTCCCATTCGTTTACTAAAAACTGAAGAAGAAAAACCATTTGTTCTTATTTGTAATATATTGACCAGCAATGCATACAAACATACAGATATTTTATTTTATTCGACATAAATTTATGGCCCTCTTTATTGATTTCAACTCCTGATGCACACATGAATGTCACGTACTCTTTCTAGTCGTGTCCAGCACAACACATTACATTATATTAATACAATCGTTTGCGCTTAAACTGCATATTATGTAAAATTTAAGAGTATAAATATACACAAATAATTTACAACTACTGAAATTGTTAAGCTCCTCGAAAGAGGATTTTTTTTCAAAAAGTTTTGGAAAAAACCCCAATTAAGTTAATTTACAATGTATGTTAAACCATACACTTATATAAGTAAGTTTTATATTTCGTCAATTTGAAAATTTCAGCTTTAAGAATTTGTCATGCCCCATTCTTCCACAATTTATACAAAGACGGTTTATCCAAGCATTGACATTATTCCTCCTAATCCACCTCCGCCGCCGCCACCCATAAGTGAGGCTAATCCTCCTCCTTTTCCGCTCATTAAATCGCCTGCCATGCTTTTAATCTTGTCTCCATTTGGACCGTTTAGAAGGCTGGCTAGTGGATTGCCATCGTCGACTTTGCCCCCTGACATCATTGCAGTTGCTGCGCTTAGAATGCTAGAGCCTTGTGGTCCATTCAATATTCCTCCTAAAGACCCCTTCAAGTCAGCAGCACTCATACCTGGCATACCTAGCATCCCTCCCATTTTATCCATGTCAACATTTTCCAATAATTTTGAAATGTCTGGTGATCCTGGATCTTCTTTTAAACCATCAATTAAACTGTTTAAATCCGGCTGTCCACCAGTGCCACCCTTCCCCCCACCCCCCATGAAACTTGCCATATCAAACGATGACATGGAATTGGAGGATTTTGATGACTGACCACCTACCATTTTACTGAAATCTGGCATGCCCATAAAACTACTACTTCCCGTGTTAGGTGTATTATCTGGTGGAGGATTAATATTTTGGTTTGGACCTTGACCAGTATGTACGACACCATTGTGATTTGTGTTTGCGTTGGTTGGCAGTTGATGACCGTCATGTGATATTCCGAAGCTATTTCCGCCCTGATTTAGAGATTGTTGATTGTTTTGATTTCCATTCTGACCAGCGATATTTGACATTCCATTACTGAATCCACCTTGCCCTCCATTATTTCCCATTCCAGTGTTAATCCCGACTTGTCCAGCATTATTTCCCATAGCACTATTAAATCCCCCTTGTCCAGCTTGATTAGTCATTCCATTATCAAATCTGTTTTGTCCTCCAGAATTTGTCATTCCACTATTAAATCCGTTTTGTCCACCAGAACTTGCCATTCCATTTGTTAATCCACCTTGCGAGTTTGACATTCCATTATTAAATCCATTGTTTCCACCTGGATTACTCATTCCATTATTGAACCCCCCTTGTCCATTTGTGTTCGACATTCCATTATTAAATCCATTGTTTCCAGCTGAATTACTCATTCCATTATTGAACCCTCCTTGTCCATTTTGGTTCGACATTCCATTATTTAATCCATTGTTTCCAGCTGGATTACTCATTCCATTATTGAACCCCCCTTGTCCGTTTGAGTTCGACATTCCATTATTAAATCCATTGTTTCCAGCTGTATTAGTCAATCCATTATTGAACCCCCCTTGTCCTTTGGAATTCGACATTCCATTATTAAATCCATTGTTTCCAGCTGGATTACCCATTCCATTACTGATTCCAGTCTGTCCATTGGCATGCGATCCACTATTTGGATGAGAATTTACCAAGCTCATAACTTGTGCTGCTGTTTTTCTACCTGCCAACATTTCTTGCATTGCATTCTTAATTACATTTCCGTTTGGACCGTTCATCATACTCTGAATTTTATTCATATCAACCACTGTAGACTGTTGGTTTTGCTGAGATTGTGTCTGTTGGAATCCATTTTGACCTGTCTGGCCAGAATTCATACCTTGATTAAATTGACCGTTCATGTTATTTTGGTTCTGAAATCCGTTCTGACTTTTTTGTGGACGTCCAAACGATCCCGTCATGCCATTCATTTGACCTGATGTCTGAGGTCGATTAAACTGATTCTGTCCCATATTTTGTTGCCTTCCGAACATTCCCTGTTGTGGATTGAATCCTCCCGTTTGGCTGTTTCTTCCTGAAAACTGACCATTCATTGCATTTCCAGGCGGTCTTCCCTGCATTCCCTGAAATCCGCCCATTCCATTTGTTGATCCTCCCATGGTATTCCGTCCCTGTGTGTTTCCAATCATTTGAGGGAAAGCATTGTTATTTATAGGTCTTGCTTTCGTTCCAGAAGTATTTTCTGCCAGTTCAGCTCTCGGTGCACCGGCATTAGGGTCAACCCCAAGAAGTGAAGCTAGGTTTTGTCCACCAGCGCCACCTGTTGGTGGTGGCCTTGGACCTCCACCGGTCATACTTTTCAACATTGACGAGATAGCAGGATTTGACATTAGATCATTTAGTGGGTTACCCCCACCTCCTTGTCCTTGTCCACCACTTCCTCCACCTCCCATCAATGCTGCCAATGGATTTGAACCTCCTCCTCCACCCCCACCTCCGATCAAACTTGCAAGTGGATTGGATCCTCCTCCTCCTCCCATCATAGCTGCCAGGGGATTACCACCACCTCCTCCACCACCCATCAATGCTGCCAGAGGATTACTTGATTTCTTTGGTGCTCCGCCTCCAAGGAGGGACATCAATCCTCCTGCCCCACCTCCGCCTCCCCCGCCACCTCCCATCATACTCGACATCATAGACATCATAGGATTCGATGATCCTCCTCCTCCACCCATTAAGGAAGACAACATTCCTCCCATTCCTCCTCCTCCTCCTCCTTTGCCTCCAGTCAACATAGGCAGTAACATTGGGAGCATGCTCATCATTCCACTTCCGCCTCCTAGCATACTCGATAAAAATCCACCACCTTTTGACTCCCCTTCCTTCTTACCCCCAAATAAGTTTTTGACTTTATCCAAAATACTAGGATTTTTTGCAGCCGTTTCAATTTTTTTTGCTGTGTCTGGATGTTTGTCTTTCAATTCGTCAATTTTTTGGTCGGCTGTTTTAGTTGGGGAGGCTGTTGATGAAGGCGAAGGCGCTGGATTATTTTTTTCATCTACTTTTTGCTTCAAGATTTCTAATAGTTCTTTTGCACTGTCGGCTCCAACTTCCTTTGCTAAGGATTCAAGTAGGTCCTTTTTCTCGTTTTCGTTGTTCTGAGTTGTTGGTGCAGGATTTGGGTTTACTGGTGGTGTTACTATGGTAATTATTTCTACAAGATAAATTAAACAAATGAAGTTTTAAGACAAGTCTATTTGTGTAGATGACATGACGTATCAAAGGTACAAATGTTATAAACTCATTGGTAGTAATCGGTGAATTAATAAACATAAGTGTTATAAGAAGTCGTTTTTACCTATTGCTCAATTTTTCATAAATCAAAATTGTAGCACATCCTTTAACTAAACAGAATTTGACACACAATGATGCTTTTTCAGGATATTCCAATTTGGTAATAAATCTTGAACATTGCAACTGTAGGCTAATGGGTCATTTCTTATTTTGTTATTTCCAGTACCTAACGCATCTTATTTGCGTTGAGAAACTCTTCTAATTGGTTATCTTAATACATAAATCAGGTCGTTTGTTTTCTCGTTTGAATTGTTTTACATTTTGCCATGTCGGGACATTTTATAGCTAACTAACAAACGATTTGAGTTTTACTCATTGTTGAAGGCTGTACGGTGATCTATAGTTAATTACATCCACGTTATTTGTTCTTTTGATTTAGCTTGTCTCATTGGCAAATTATCGTTTCAAATTTACGAAATGACTTATATAAGGGGGTAGGCAGGGTGTCATCTCGAATTCATGGAAAAATAAACGCTGAATATCCGAATTCCCGAGAAATAAAGCATTCTTTCCCGAATCCCGAAAAATCAATCATTAATTCCCGAGTCCCGATCAGTGTAAAGCCCGCATCCCTGAAAAAATAAAGACCCAACCCAGACGTCCCGAATAATTCCTTCCACCCCTCTATATAAAACAATGCTAAAATATTTACCAGTAGGATAAATTGTTGGAGACCAAATATCTTCCCAATAATGAGTATAGTTACGTACAACTGTAGCTCTGAAAAGAAAAAGAAATACAAAGTAAGACATTTTTTTACACACCGCTAAATATAAAATGTATTCATTAAGGAGTTTTTCTCATGTGCTGCATGTGTGAAAACACAAAAGCTATAAGACAGAAAACGCACTGGCAAATATTTCGACATTTAAGCCCTTTGTTATAGGTATCATTTAGTTTTTATATATATTTATATATATATATGCTTTTGCATAGTTTGGATGTCAACTTTGAACCTGGCATGTCAAGCTCTTCACTGTTCTTCTTTTTAATATGGAGAATATATGAGGGTCTGGATTGGGTTTACAGAATAGAGAATGATCGGCACAAACAGAGAATATATGAGGGTCTGGATTGGGTTTACAGAATAGAGAATGATCGGCAAAAACAGAGAATATATGAGGGTCTGGATTGGGTTTACAGAATAGAGAATGATCGGCATAAACAGAGAATATATGAGTGTCTGGATTGGGTTTACAGAATAGAGAATGATCGGCAAAAACAGAGAATATATGAGGGTCTGGATTGGGTTTACAAAATAGAGAATGATCGGCACAAACAGAGAATAAACTGACAAAAAATAAATAATAGAGAAAAATAGGCCAAAAAAAAGAATAGAGATTTCATGACTATACGGAATGTGTTTTTCTCTTGGTTGAAGACTGTACGGTGACCTATAAGTACCGATTTTGAGGTTGTCTACATATTGATATTGTAGAATTCAGCTATGGGTCACAATACTAATATGTAGACAACCTGATAATCGGTACTTATCGTTGCTTATATCAACGTCATTTGAACTCTGGTGGATAGTTATCTCATTGGCAATCTTTTTACATCTCATTATTTGTTAAAAATAAAAATACGATGATAAAATAGGATTATAATGGGATGTTAGAATATAACGAATAGTGAATAATAAGCACAAACAAAAAAAGAAGAATTAGAAAATTTGTCTTAACAGTTAAAGAATAAAGGATGAATACCCCATTCCAGACCCTCATATTTGCAGGTAAACGTCAACAGCTACAAAACTTGATTAAAAATATTCGGATAATTTTTTTTCATTACTAAATGCACTTTAATTCCCTAAATTATCATATCTTGTTATGCTAAGAAATCGGTGTATTAAAAATTTAATAGGGCTGTACTTACTTTACTTTAAACGGATGAGTTGCTGCCATCGGTGCCCTCCATAGCATTGTTACATTTCTCTTATATGATGCCTCTGTATGGCTGATACTATCCTCATAAATGTGGCATTGTAATGTCCTTGACCTTCCTAGAGGTATCCAAGATCCCTGCGGTAATGGTATAATTTTACTAAAGAAACTTTTGTCCTCAAAAACTTGCATGAAATAGCCTTTGAAAAAGTCATATTTTCCTTTGGATGTTAAAACAACTGAAAAAGAAAAAAAAGTCACAGCTATCAATATGAAAAATAAAAATGAAAGGAAGAAATAGTATATCACTTCTTTTAAAGGAAACGGAAATTTAGACAGAAATGAAATAAAATTTATTTTCAAATTTCTGTATCAATGTTCTTGTTGGAGATGGCATACTTTCATTCTAGTTTTACAACTAGAACCTTCTATTTGCTTCATTTCTTGAATGTGTTAAGTCGAAAATTTGCATCGCTGTTTTTATATTTCGTTTTCCTTTTTCCATGGTTTTTTTTTAACTTCTGGCCGGGTTTGACACAGCGATTCGGTCGTTACTAATATATATATCATCAGTAAGCTTTTTTATTATCATCAAATATACAGAAAAGACAAATGTATTACTTAAAAGAATATTTTGAAATATATGATATGTAATGCCAATTTATATCATGTTTTGATATTTGTTAAGTTGTAATGCTCCATTTCAACATGTCATTTTCATATAGTCATAATATAACTTCTCGTTCATGTAACTAGGGAAAATACCCGGAAGTTTCCTTTTAATCACAGGTAAAAATTGGACTGAACATGATGGAATACACTTGAATATGCCGACGCAAGATATGTCTATGAAAGACTTTTGTATACACCTCAGAGACGGATCTTGGAGTTTTGACAGGGGGCATAATTCCATAAAAGGGATTATATTCGTAGACGATTTTTTGCTAAATAAATCGTGAAAACATGATATAATTATTTTTTTGGCAATCAAAGGTGTACGCCATCTATGCCCCCTCCGCCACTGCACCCTCCACCACCCTAGTTATTATTGATTATTGTAAAAAGAACAGAAATTTAACATAACCAAAGGTTAAATGAATCGAACAAGCACTCGCACTGCGTATCTAGATTAAATCACAGGCACTTTGGACACTGACCTCACTTTTTCTTAAGCTTTTTTTATTTGTTTATTTTTGTTAGTTAATATTCTTTAATAATTTAAATTATTTTCACATATTTAATGTGTTTTTCTCATATCCTAACGATATAACAATAACAGTAGTTTGTATAATTATGCTGCCAGTCTATTGCTATTTCTGATAAACTTTGCCAAAATATTTTTATTTTGCTATTTTCCAAAAATATAATGAAAATTTTAGGTCACCGAGTTTGTTTAAGTTATGTCCCTCTTAAGGTTATCAATCAAAAATATTCTAGATTTATAAAACAGTCGTAATGACAGGATTAAATAAAAGAATTTTCTTAATTTAAATTGAAAGTCTTACACACGAATCGCACTCCTGCCTAACAATTTGCCTATTTCATTAAAAGTATAGGCCGAGAGTAACTCAGTTTTCTGCTGTTTGGGGAGATGGCGAAAGACCCCTTTAATACCTCAAATGAATAATTGAATAAGTAAATACATAAATGATAAACAAATCAATCAAGAAAATGAAATCAACAACGAACATCTTCTATAAAAATTTATTTTTTAAAAAAATGTTGAAAATAAACCAATATACTAACTTAAATAAATAAACACACAAATGTGCGAATAAATCAATACATAACTGAATAAATAAACTAAGGTCCAAAAAATTGACAAGCATAAAGAAAAACTAAAGAAAATGAATTAATTTTTACGAAGAAATAAAAAAAACCCAATGTCAAACAAGAAATAAATAGTTACCTTCGACAAGTTCTCCTGGTTTAACTGTTGTTGTATTTACTTTTATTTCAAATGGAGGATCCCGCGTAAATTGTGGAGCATATTCCCAGTTAGTATTTGGTCTTTTGTGTTCTGGTCTCATACTTGTACATGATTGTCTTGTTACTCCTGTTTTAAAGCTTTTAACATCACTTATTATAACAACGGCAAATATAAACAAAGAAAATAATTTAGAAAACATTGCACTTTTGAAACTTTTTTTGGTTACTGTTTAGTCCGATTCATTTGTTTCTTTTAATATTGTGTATTTACTTTTAGTCCATTACTCAGAAAAAAGAAGAAAACACTTCCCGTAAAGATCGTCAGCATAAATATGACATCAATAAGAATGTTAGGAGACTTCCGAGGCACCACACAGGATATTTTGTTTAGTTCCAACTTGATTTCCGATCACAATGTTAATATTTTTCTTTTGACGAAAACGTTTGATCTTATTGTTTTTGTCTTTCCTTTCAACATTTAAAAGTGGAAAACTAAAAGGGTTTTAGTGAATTTGCAGCTGTGTTAAGATTACGTCAAAGGGTTTGACGGATTTGATGTATCTATGTGCGAAAAGGTCTCACTTCCGTTTTTGAAAAGTACCCGAGGGTATATATGCTACAAAAGTTTCGCCATGAAGAGTATTTGGTTAAATAAAAAACGGAAGAAAAAGTTGACAAAAGTAACTTCGTTCAGAATGAATAATTCTCAAATTGTTGATTTTTCTCTTTTCTTTTATAACTATATTATTTTCATTATAACGATGGCATCCGTATTTAGAAGTTGTAAATGACGATGAGTGGTTGGCACAATGTGTCTTTTCCTTTCCGACAGTTAATCACCTGCTGTGACTTTGCATTTATTGCCTTTCATGTATTTTAAAAAATGCTGACCGTATTAAAAATACAACCACAATCTCAATCACTACTAATTTTTACTGTTGAATAAGACCAACAGAGCAAACATAATCTATACCATATGACAATTTCTACTTAAGAAAAAGATCTACATTATAAAACATATCATAAAAAAAAATCTTCATCAACTACTAAAATGTTTGAAGAAAAAGTAACCGTTATAAGTAGTTACAGTAGTGTTTCTGTTTATATTGCTCACAATGCAGATGAATTTGAACTTTGATTTTTGCGGAATACTTTATGTTTTATTTTTAGTTTGCATGTAATATTCTTCAAATCATGTCACTAAGTTTGATGTCTTAATCAATTTCGACAGGTTCATGATTCAATATGATATCGGGTACTCCGATACAACACAGCACTTGTCATGTTAATTCATAGCTAAGGGCTTCATGTAACTGCTTTTACGAAATCACAGATTTATTTCTTCATTTTTCAAGATGAAATTGATATTGACTTTTTTGTTTCTATTGTCAAATGTTTCTTTTTGTTTGGCTTATTCGACAGGAGCTCCAAAATCTAAATACGTTTGTAGCAGACGACAGCCTCATCATGGAGTTCAGCCACAAATTACCAGTAGTCCATTCGTCATTTTGGTGAATACAACTTTTCCAGGATATGGTGACCTAATCGAGGGTGAGTTTTGAAATGAGGCAAATTTGGGAAATATTTTCTTGGCATTTCAGAAAATTTTAAATGTTTTGTTCATGTTAATTTTAAACAGAGCTATATTATCGATAAATAGAAAAAGAAAGTCGTTTGACAGTATACATTCTGTGGCCGCATGACAGTTTATGTTGAAATCTTATTATTGTACCAATAATGAATCCTCTTACTGTTTATGCAACATATTTTTTTCTTTTTCAAATCAAAATAAACAGCACCTGAGTTGCATCGCATGACATAACTATCCACTAATTTCATCATATTCTATAAAATACAATTTAATGAGTATATATTTGCACTGTACATGCACAGGCACTTGTCTCCGGTAAAAAACATATATATGCCTTGATATAACACTAGGTATATATTAATTTTTTTCAGAGACAAGTGCCCGTGTATACATGCACGTTTTCTCTTTATTTATTTACGAGTATATTGTGTTTGTATATAAAATAGAGACGGAAGACACCAAAGGGACAATAAAAAATAAGTCAAAGTAAAACCGACAATACCATGGCAAAAAAAAAAACCCCGATAAGGGAGCTACCATTTGTTTTTTATGGGGGGGCTAGGATGAAAAATTTTGTCCTGCATTTTTTTTTAGTTGTAATCTCTGTCCTGCATTTTTATTTTTCACTCTATTCAGTCCTGCCCTTTTTTTGTTAGTTTATCCTGACTTTTTTTACATAAATTGTCATCCTGCCTTTTTTTTTGACAAGTTGCTCATCCTGCCTTTTTTTTTACTCAAAACTCCTGTCCTGCCTTTTTTTTCAAATTTCATCCTAGCCCCCCCATAAAAATCAAATGGTAGCTCCCTAAAACAACGAAAAGACAAACATCAGTTCACAAAACTCTACATAGAAAAGTAAATACTTAGCAAGACAAAATCTACCTAACACCTGGGATGATATCAGGTGTTCCGGAAGGGTAAGCAGATCTTGCTCAACATGCACGGCACTTGTCTAGTTGCTCATGGCAAGTACACATTCGGCGACAAGTCTCATTTACTTTTAGTAAAGGTGGACTGGATTGTGACTACGACAATCGGAACATACCCGTGGTCATCCGTATACAGATATTCATTAGCAATCAACCAAACCATGATGGCTTCTGTGAAACGTTCGAAGGGCGGACTCCAATTTTACCACTAGGAACCCTTTTTTCAATAGCTTCCTTGTACGCAGTCACCCTCGGTCCAACGATTTACAGAAAAGAGAGGGGCCTGATGGGTTATTTTCGTTCTTCGTGATCGGCGCATTTTCGCTATCGTGATCCGTTTTTCTACAGATTTTTTTTTTTTATATTTTTCGTGAATCGTGATTGACAAAAAAATCAACTCGTGAATCGTGATGAGACCCCCCCCCCCCCCCCCCCATCAGGCCCCTCAAAAGAGCGACGATTTACAGAAAAGAACAGAAAAGGACCGAAAAGGACCAAAAAGAACAGAAAAGAACCGAAAAGGAACCAAAAAGAGCATACATATATTTATTTCATATTTATATACACACGAAATTTTGATATTGTTAATAATTCCTCGTAATAAATGAACGCATAACTGTAACTTAGATTGTATATTTTATAGGGATATGTGGACACAAAAAAAAAGACAGTATTATAACTTGGTTTTCAGTAAAAAAAAATTTTATATATGTACAAGTAATCATTTGCACACTGTACAATATAAATCACTCCTGTTATACACCATAAAACAAAATGTGCCTTTTGATGAACACATCAAAGACTTTTATTCGCATAGTATCAAAATACAATAAGCATTTTAATAAAATAATGTTGTTGTTTTTAAATAAAACTAGCAATTAGTCTTTGAAATTAAAAAAAATGAAGGAATTAACAACCTTTAACCAAGAGACTGTATTATTCATGTAAGTCCCAGATGCGACTAATTGTCATTAAATAAATAAACTGTAAACTTGATTTTTGACTATTGAAAAGTCTTATAGATTTGAAGAAAATGTTTGCGGAAATAGATCAGCCATATACGACCAACAAATATGTTAAGATAACTTAATTGGAAATCAACTCCTTAATATTAATTGTCCTTAAATATTGATTTTTCTCCCTTTCTGCGTTTTTCGTTTTATTTTAAAACTATAAAAGTGTGGACACAGATCAGTGTGGATAGTATATTTGGATGTTTGACAGTGTTTTCTGACAAAAATAGTTCTCTGTTTTTCCCATAGGGTTCTATGTTAAACCATGGAAGTACATGTATAATATTGACATATAATACTTCCATGGTTAAACTGTGTTGTACAGTGATAGCCAACCTGTACCAAATACTAAAAATTAGCAGTGTCGTTTATTTAATATTTAGTTTTAATGTTCAAGACTCTCATGGAGGAGACACTAATTGCATGGATTACCAACGATTCTAATAAAATATGTTCCACAACTTTGATTTTGGATATTGCAGCAAAACTCATAATTAGGAGAGGAACACATTAGGTCATTTCTGCATGATGTGATTTTAATATACGAGATGGTATCTGACAACCTACATGCATGTACTATGTGTATGGTTCTATTTATGTTCCTTTGTGGTGGTCATTTCTTACTTGGGTTTGACCACAAAAACTGTAAATTAGTTATGGATCTTCCCAGTATCTTTAGTAAAAGATTTCGTTTAAATGTCGAAATTGTTTCTTAGAAGACTTCTAATGGTTTTTTTTTATATCCAATGGTTTTAAGTAATGACAATACTTGGCATGACGCTTAAAGCTAGATGAGCTAGAAAGTACACTTCTGTGTTATTTTCGTTCTTTCTTCAAAAATGTCCTCTCCAAGGCCTGGTCGAAGTTAAAAAATTAAAATTGGACCAGTATGATAAATTATCATTTATATTTTTAATCAAGGATTTTAATGTTATTATTAAAATATTTGTTCATATGCATATTATATTTTTTAAATAGCAATAACTTGTGCATGGAGATTATTAACAAATAAAAAATCCTGTGCGCAATTTAATGTAATTATATGTATATATATGTAAATAGTTCGTCTATATATTTATAAGTTAAATGAGAAAGGGTGCCAGAGAGATAGTAAGACGCGTGAAGTAGAAAGAGAAATTAAACAAGAGATCTAAGGAGAATGAAAAAAGTGAGGAAATGCACATGGAGATAGAAAATTGATTAAGTCTATACAGATTGGAGAGGCAAAAAATCTACCAGATTGGGAAAGGGAAGAGAAAGCGGATGAAAGATGCAGTCGATATTGTTAAATACTGAAATAGATATAACATATAAATTAATGTATGAGCTTTTTCAAAACTCATTTGAATAGCCCCTATTTGTAATTTGTAGTATATAAGATAGGCATCCGACCCTACCTTCAATAATAAGAGGGTAATTTTTCAATTGTAAGTTAGTCCTGTCGCAATATAAGGTTTCAAAACCTAATAAGAAAGTTTTTTTGGAAACTATCTTTTCATTTATAGACTTTAATGATTTTGCAATTTGCTAGTCTCCTTCCATTGCAAAAAAAATAGATTTCCTTTTCGGTTCTTTTCTATTCTTTTTGGTCCTTTTCGGTCCTTTTCTGTTCTTTTCTGTAAATCGTCGCTCTTTTCTGTAAGTCGTCGGACCCACCTGGAATATCGTATCTGCTAGGAGATACACTCTCCATAGGCTGGTGCTGCTGCTAAACGGAAATGGAAAGTTTACCAAAGGAAAAAGCTGAAATCATCTCTTTTGTCGTAAAGTATCAAATTGTGACTGCTGCTTGAAAAATAAAATATGCAGTATGATTTGAGTTAAAACGTTTTACATTTTCTCGATGCTCGCCTCTAAATTCGATACTGTAGCTCTGCGATTCCGTCCCATTTAGTAGTCGCAATGGAGCAGGCCATACGTGCAAGTGATTTACTCCTGGCAGACTTTTTTGTGTGTTAAAAAGTTAAAAAATTGATTAATCAAGTTTTAAGGTAATAATTCGATATTAAAAGCTTTCATTCTTTTTGAAAATTCTAGATACTGCCAATTACTAGTTTTAACAACAAATTATTTGGATTATGATCAATATAAAGACTTGAAGCGAAAATTGTTTCAATTGAAATTCGTGTTAGAAATAAATGAATGTTCTTTTTCAAAATATGCATTAATAATTGCCTCTAGAATATTTTGTTAAAACGACATTATTCTTTTCCAACGAAGAGATTAGAATTGCTCCATTATGCTCAATTGTGAAGGGTAGGAATGGTAACCATGACGAGAGTGTAATTACGTTATTGTATAAGTATCTCGCTCATATCGAGCGCTGGAGGTTCAATGCACGTCAACGTGAACCCAGACATTAAAGCTTGTTTTTGTTACCATGACATTCGGGGGTTAAGACTGTTTGGCTTGGAGTCAAAATAACCTGCCTGTGTATGGTGACATATCTTAGTATGGTCTCTAACATTGTTAGTGAGCATTTTAAAAATCCAACTCGACTTGTCGTTCTAGTACACAGTTGTATATTAATAGTTATCTTCCTAAATATGCCTGTTAAATTTTTCACTTTCACCAGGTGAATTTGTTTTCATCTTCGTGACAGACAATCATCAAATCATAACATATATATGTAATATGTTTTATTTTCAAGTTTGTATAATTGCAGAACTACTTTTGATTTTTTTATAAGTTAATTTCTTTTTCAGTTACAGTCAAAGCAAGGGAAAACACCAAGTTTAGAGGTTTTCTTATACAAGCTTTGCCAGAAAATGACAAATTCGTTCTAAAAGAAACTAAACCTATAGGTGCATTTTCAAGCGGCGGGAAGCTTATAAACTGCTTCCTAGACAATGACACGGTTACACATAATAATAACCAAGATAAATCGTCAATAAAACTGCTCTTCAAAATGTCTACCTCAGAAGTGTACAAGAACTTCTCTTTCAGGTTTGTATCTTAAAATATTTGTTTCCATATGTATTTGACAAATGACCATAAATTAATCCCCCCCCCCCCCCAAAAAAAAAAAAATAAATAAATAATGAAACTATAAGGACAACCGACTCACTGGTCTCGTGATAGATAGCGTGCTCGCCTTTGTTCAAGAAGACATCGGATCAATCTGTGGTCGGGTCTAACTAACACATTTACATTATTTTGTATGTTCTCTATAAAGCTCGCGGCCTCTCCTCGGAGTAAGAGGGGGGGGGGGGGGGGGGGTGGGACTGGTCAGCTTGAAGTCAGAATAGTTTGTCCTGGTAGGGTAACAAGTTTTCCGGCGGTATGTTAAATCTTGAGCTAGCTCATACAAATTTTGCCTCAGTGTGTTGCAAGTATTACACATCGGGTTAGGTGTAGTTCATCTTTTACATATCTCTTGAATATGAATATCCCATTGGTATCTTTCGCCTCTCTTTAATGTTGATGTCTAGTTGACGTATGCCACATTCATATCACTTTAACACATTTATCTACTGAATATGGGCATAAAAGTACATATATATATATATATGTCTCATGTTGTAAACATCCACCATTCTGATAATCAATCAAATCTTGATTCAAAACAATATTTCTATGCGTCATAATAATCTAATATATTACGAATTTATACTATTGAGTAAAAGAAAGGCGAAAGATACCAGAGGGACATTCAGACTCATAAGTCGAAAATAAACTGACCACGCCATGGCTAAACAAGAAAAAGACCAACAGACAAACAATAGTACACAAAACACAACATAGAAAACTGAACACGAATCCCACCAAAAACTGGGGGTGATCTCAGGTGCTCCGAAAGGGTAAGCAGATCCTGCTCCACATGTGGCACCCGTCGTGTTGCTAATGTTTGTACAAACCCGGTAATAAGTCTAATTCGAAAGGTCACATTCAGGAAAAGGGGGACGGGATTATGGTTACGACATTAGGAACATATCCGCTATCATCTGTAAAACGGATATTCCATAACGGTCAACCAACTCGTGATGTAAACTGTGCTTAGCATTTGAAATTCTGATGATTCTTATTTCTTGTGTTATCTTGTTGTGTGCTTCGTTTGTTCAGCAGTGTTATCTTGTTATGTCCCTTCGTTTGTTAAGCAGTGTTATCTTGTTGTGTTTTTTTTAGCAACTTGTTATCTTGTTATGGGCCCTTCGCTTGTTCAGCAGTGTAATCTTGTTATGTTCGTTTTTTTAGCAACTTGTTATTTTGATATGTCCTTTCGTTTGTAAAGCAGTGTTATCATGTTATGTTTCTTCGTTTCTTAAGCAGTGTATTCTTGTTATGTTCGTTTTTTTAGCAACTTGTTATCTTGATATGTCACCCTTCGTTTGTTAAGCAGTGTTATCTTGTTATGTTCGTTTGTTTGTTTATCAGTGTTATCTTGTTAAGTTTGTTTATTTGTTTAGCAGTGTTATTTTGCTAATTTATGTTTGTTTGTTTGTTAAAGATTGTTGTCTGGTATGCAATGGTATTGATCCGGTATTCGGTATAAGAATTAAACTGACATTTAAAAGCTTACAACTTACAAGGCCTTTCTATGATAATTTTTTAAAACGTCTGCTACAGTTGATCCAAACTGGTGTTTGTGACATTTAATTTCATAGAACTGAATTATTGACAATGGGATCATTGCTTTCAAATATCAAATGTTTTTACATAATTTTGTTTGTAATTTTTTTGTTTTTGTATCAGTTCTTTTCTCTTATTGACAAACACATATATTCGTGCATGCATATGTGTACAAACATCATTCAATTAAAATGCCATTTGGTATGTTTAGATGAAAGATTTGTTACCATGAATACATGTATTCTAATGTGCAAAGAATTCCTAAGTACGACATGGCTTTATTACGTGAACATCTAACAAAAACTTTAATCACATACACCGTTTTGTATTCAGATGATAACATTTCAATGACATTTTTAAACGCTGTGTTAATTTAAGAATACCCGAAGAACGAGTAAAGTGTGCAGCTCCACAATTCTTCATTTTCTCTATTTCATTGTTGTTAAAAAAATCATCAACTCTTTTTATTACACAAAAACCTTTACATTCTTCATTTTATTAAACTTATTTACTAGTATCTATTTATTAAAACTGTGTTGTATGTTCTAAAGATTTAGTTCTATAAAGATATTTTTCAGTGCTACAGTTGTAAAGGATTTTAGAACATTTTGGACAGATGTAACCTCAGCACCTATTTCCTCGCCAGGTAAGTCCTAAAGCCATACAACGTATATGTGTCTTTCAGGTTTCCTCAAGAAAAATATGATAGAAAGGTCGGTCTTTTAAAGCTCATTTCTTTTATATTGAGTAAATGGGGAGACCTGATATTTTGTCATCATTAATTACTAACAAAAGTGTCTTTAAAAATCCTCGGAAAATTACAGATATACAGAGAATATTGTGTCCAAGTTTTAAAACACCAACACAAATTATATCAAGTCGTTTTTTGTTTGTTTGTACTCACTTAGATGTAAAAGAACGTTAAAATACTTTGCAAGAAAAACTAAATGATTTTTTTGTATTTGTGTCACTGGGTTGATGTCTCATTGATGTATACCAAACGTTTCCTTTTTATTCATATATGCTACTTTTGAAACAGTCCAAAATAGAAAACATTTGTTTTTACTGAAGACAAATGTCATCATTGTCTAATTTCAAAACAGAGGCCCCGAAGAAGCTATATTGGTCACCTGTTTCTGTGAATAACACTTATATTTACCTATGTTATAACACCAGTTAATATGCAAGCATTTTTGCTAAGATCTATTTTCTTCAGTTTCAAATAGTGTCATCGGATGTAATTCTTTTATTCTGGTATGCGTGTTCGTTCAATAAAAACCATCACATGGTTTATAGTTATTTCAATTAAATTTCTATTTAATTTAATAATTCTAATATAATAATCATAATTTGGGATGAATTTATTTTGATTTTAACCATTTTATTATTTTTTTTTATTCTTTATGTACCTGTTCCAGGCAATAAATATGCAAATCGTGCCTTTTTTTTTCTCTTTTAAACTGTTTCACATTGTATCTTCCGGGGGCATACTATATATAGATGATTATACGGAATGGGTTAGTTCATTATTTAAGGCTATACGATGACTTGTAAATGATTATAATTATCTTTATCCTTTGGTCTTAGTGTATAGTTGTCTCATTTACAATCATATACTACATCTCCTCATTTTTAAATTAACAAAACACAAGTGTCGAAACAATATATCAAGCTTTAAATCTTCTTTAGTGAAGTAAAGTTGTGAATAAAGTAAGCAGATATCAGACAAAAAAAAAATCCAAATCTGCCATGCATGTTTCAGATTTTTGGAAGTTGAACATCGCCATTTGTGTCTCTGTCAATGCAAGATAATTAAACAATCCTGATTATTTGCTCTTCCATTTTTTAACTAGATGCTGGTCCATCACCATCAGAAGATTGGACAAGAACCGTGATAAAAACAGCAGATAGTATCAGTAAAGGAAAGACCGAATGGGACCGAAACATTGACGAAAGGTTAAAACTAGGGTATTCTAGAATGTTTAATTCCCTAGGACAACTCAAAACTAGAAGTATTTTCAATAATCTTCCATTTTCCAACAGAAACCATGGCAATAAAGAAAGTGATAGAAATTCGTTGTATGAAAGTGATAAAAAGCTGGACATGTCATCTGATTTGCTGACTAAAGAACTGTTACAAGGAAACGTAAACTCTGCTGTATTCTTAGCAAAGAAGTTTAACATATCTTTTTCAGATCGAAACAAACAAAGGTTATAACGATATTAAAGTAAATATTGTAAATTTTGATCTTAAATAAACAGGAAGTGTCGTTGTGCAATGTAATATTATGCCATTTTATGAATGGATAAGAACTATTAATGAACTATTCCATATGTTTGACCATAATAATTAATGTACCTGTTTTTATGCAGTATTTATTATACGTGTCCAATTGACATGTATATCTAAGAGATAACTTGGTGTGCCGTGTCATTTATTGCTTACCTCCCGTACCACGATTTTACATGTAATAAGCAGAATACGTCTGAATAAAAGTTGATTCTATTCGTATATTTGTTGATTTATATTTGTTTAAACGTTTTCTCATTCTTATAGAAATCAATTTTGATAATTATCTGCTACTATTTATACACACCATTTTGTTAAGAGATGATTTTTATAATTATCTGCTACTATGTATACACACCATTTTGTTAAGAGATGATTTTTATAATTATCTGCTACTATGTATACACACCATTTTGTTAAGAGATGATTTTTATAATTATCTGCTACTACATGTATTTATACACACCATTTTGTTAAGAGATGATTTTTATAATTATCTGCTACTATGTATACACACCATTTTGTTAAGAGATGATTTTTATAATTATCTGCTACTACATGTATTTATACACACCATTTTGTTAAGAGATGATTTTTATAATTATCTGCTACGTACTATGTATACACACCATTTTGTTAAGAGATGACGCTATCAAACAAATGTACAGCAAAGGAAAAACAAAGACAGAAGCCTCATTAAAATCAAGAAATAGCATCTGCAGAAAAAGTTCAAATTCTTTTTTTTACTAAGTGGTCTTAGATTTTGGCAGTCACCATTACACTTTTACACTCGGAGCAGCACTCGGATGCGAGACACATGGTTCCAAGGAACCCTTTACACGGTTTTTAAGTGTTTATCTGGTTGTCCAAATAATTCATATAGGCAGAACTTAATTGAATTTACCCGTAATTTGCATATTGACAATATGGCATTGGTCGTGGGATATTTCAAGGGAATTTTTTTTGGGTCAAGAATGCACTCGTTGTCGTGCTAAGCATATTAACACCACTCGTAATGTAAAGTAATGGGAAACAGGAAGAAGGTGTCTGGCCGATCCGAAAAGCGCACAAACTCATTTTGTCCGTTTCTCTTCGACTAATATTGTTTTACTCCCTTGGTTTCTGTACCCTTTTTCCAGAAAAAAGAAATTATGAACACTCGTCGTTGGAAGTTACTGCTATATATTCAGAAAACCTGACAGAGAAAAAAATGTTAAGTGCGACGAAATTTACTGTAAACCAATTGATTTTTCACGGATACCTTTTCGCGTTTAGCATCGCTTTTATGTGTCAATCACTTTACATAAACTGCTTTATAAAGGGATTAGGTATCAACAATTCATTTGGAAACTCAACGGATATCTCCACAACACTTACCAAGGAGGAAATTCTGAATATTCATAGTTCTCTTCTATGTTCCTTTGGAATTTCAACCAAAGATGAAGAACTGGATCTTCTTCATTGTATTGGATACCTAAATTACATAAGTGTCCTTACAAACAACTTTTTATTTCATTTATTCAGATGAGACATACTTCATACAAGAGCTTCTTGGGAAGAATGACAATAAGCCTTGCTTTATCCTTTAACTTTACGTTCCGTTATAAAGATGAGCTCTTTTCAATAAATATTTCAAAAGTTTAGTAATTTAGTGACTATGTTGCACATATCTATCTCATCGAACACATACAGTTATGAATGCCTCACATCTTGACTAACATCTAGAAATTGACAATGAGGGTCGTTGAGAACAAAACTTTACGACAAAAAATATAGTTATGAAATAATTCATGGCAGCCGTAGATTTGTTTTCATTTAACCATGGGTTGGGCATTTATATCCGATTATTTTATCCCGATATCTACGGCTGCCATGAATTATTTCGATTCTAATAGGACAAATACGGTATTTTGGGGTTACACTAAAGACCTGAAAGTGGACCTGAAAAGACCTGAATAGACCTGAAGATATACGACTCAAATTATTCAAATTGCAATAACTTCTTTATTTTTCAATGGAATTTCTTCAAGTTAGAATTTTATTAAATGTAAAGATCCACATTTCTTCAAAAATAAAATGTTTTAAATAAAAAACAAATTTTTGATGCCAAAACTTGGACCTGAATGAAGAATGAAAAGACCTGAAAGGACCTGAAAATCTGTGGTCGGACTTATTCAAACTTCAATAACTTTTTAAATATTCAATGGATTTCTTTCAACATTAGATTTTGTGAAACTAAAAATTCAATATACTAATAATATTAAAAAAAAAATATGAAAAATATCGTTGGGGTGTTAAAACTCGGACCTGAACGGGAAATTAAATTGACATGAAAATCTGCGGGCAGATTTATTCAAGTTCTATAACTGTTTTAGTTTTCAATCAATCTCCTTGAAATATGAATTTTGTTATAGGAAAGGTATAATATTTCATCGTAAATAAAGAATTTTATCGAAAAATATATTTGTTTAGTTATCGGACCTTGTCGGGGAAATAAAAAGACCTGAACGGACAAGACTTGAATGGATCACACGGGAAGATGTATTTAAACTGACGCAACCTAATTTTTCAATTTGTTTTTATTTTAAATAAAATTATATTAAAGAGAAAGAATGACTTTATGTATATACAGGAACAAATTTATGACTGGGTATTGATTGTTTTATTGAATACTGTGATATGTAAATATTTTGTCAATCAATATGTGACACTATAATAAAATATTTAATGCCAGTTTTTTTTTCTTCAGTATTTTTATTAAGTATTTTTTAATACGCAATTATTCTGCAATTTTGCAAATTTTACAGTATGTTAACTCACTCAGTTTTTTTTTTTAATGCCAAAAGTCTTTTTTTTTAAGTATTTTTACGAGGAATATTGATGAAATTAAAGGATTAAACTTTTTAGATTGGTATTATCATTTTGTATATATATGCGTGATTACTTGTCAATTAATTAGCTTGTTCTATAATAATTATTCAGTGTTTTCATTGTTAAGTATAATGTGTTTTAATTGTGTATAATTATGTAATAATGTGTAACTGATATCAACGACAATGCAAGCGCATTTTAAGCTAATCATTAAAATTAAATATTTTCATCACAAGTTACTTTTGACTCTTCTTGAATGAAAATGCAAATGTTTTATAAGCTATGTTGATTAACTATATATTTTCAGGTCCATTCAGGTCTTTTCATTTTCCATTCAGGTTCGAGTTTTGTCACAAACATTCAATATGAACATAAAAATAAGAATATGTGGTATGATTGCCAATGAGACTACTCTCCCGTCTTTTTAACTTGTATCAGTTTTGAGTATCTTATTGGTATCTCCCGTCAGTTTTGATATTTGTTTTTCTTTTGATAAAATATTAGAAGAAAAAAACAAGATGTGGTTTAAATCCCAATGAGACAAATCTCCACAAGAGACCAAATGACATAGAACCTCTGAGAAGTTAACAACTATAGGTCACCGTACGGCCTTCAAAAATCTATTTTCAGGTTTATTCAGGTCAAAGACTTGTCACAAAAATAATTTTTTTCGTCAATTTTTTGTTTATTTTTTCGTTTTGAAAACAAAAAAATATTAGCGGAATTTCAGGTTCATTCAGATTTTTAATTCTCCGTTCAGGTCCGAGTTTTGACACCCCAACAGTATTTTTCATAATGTTTTTTTTTAATATTATTAGTTTATAGAATTTTTAGTTTCATAAAATCTAAAGTTGAAGGAAATCCATTGAATATTTAAAAAGTTATTGAAGTTTGAATAAGTCCGACCATAGATTTTCAGGTCCGTTCAGGTCTTTTCATTTCTCTGTTCAGGTCCAAGTTTTGGCATCAAAAATTTATTTTTTATTTAAAACATTTTATTTTTGATGAAATGTTGATCTTTACATTTAATAAAATTCTAACTTGAAGAAATTCCATTGAAAAATAAAAAAGTTATTGCAATTTGAATAATTTGAGTCATATATCTTCAGGTCTTTTCAGGTCTTTTCAGGTCCACTTTCAGGTCTTTAGTGTAACCCGGTATTTTGTCAACCGTGAAAGCCCTATACACGCGATACTGTTTGGCTGTTCCGTTTTACTCCCCATATGATTGAGTATACCTGGTCGTATGAATAAGGTGGGCGTAACGCGGAACAGCCAATTATGTGTATTATTAAAATGCATTTGCGCTAAAAGTAGATATACTCTGATGATACTGGTTGACAATATATAGGTCATTCCAGCATGTGGAATATATATATATTTCCGTTTTGAATTTTCCGTGGAGTTTGGTATTTTTGGTATTTTACTTTTTTCTCCCAGTTGATGTGAACTTGCGTTTGCTATCGTCTTTCAAGGAAGGTTGTTAGCAAGGGTTTCAAATGGTAAATCTGAAGTCATCCCATCGAAAATTTTACAAACGATATCACGAGTTGGTTTACAATTATGAAACATCTGTTTACCAGACGACGGCGGACATGTTCCAATTGTCGTTACCAAAACCCCGGCCTATTTTCCTCGAATATAACTTCATCGAATGAGACTTCTCGTATTTTTACTTACATTAGGTACACGACGGGTGCTACGCGGCGAGCAGAGCTGCTTACGCTTCTGAGATCACCCCCGGTTTCTGATGTGGTTCGTGTTGCTCAGTCTTTAGTTTTATATGTTATTCTTTTTCTACCATGACATGGTCAGTTTGTTTTCGACTTTACAAGAGTTTGATTATTCCTTTGATATCTTCGTCCTCTTTCTCAGCCCTGTCCCCATGATTTTGCGGCGATTTATTTTTCGGGATTTCGAAAAATAATGATCGATATATTCATTTAAGGGAAAAACATTTTTGCAAAAGTCGAGAAAAACGTTTCGCTTGAGAAAATAAGTTGCTCAACAGTATTTTTAATACATATCAGTAATTGTTCTAAGGGTTATCTGCCATGGTTGATACAGATGTCATCCCGGGCACTTGATACACTTTTTATCTTGTTATCACATCTAACA